GACCAAAGTTCAAATTGTTTTGTTCTCAGAGTGGCTGCAGGCATCAGTTTCTGACATACACAGGTTTTCAAAAGCATCTTAATAATGTTCATAGCAATGTTCAGCAAATTTCACAAAGTTCAGCTATTCCAAGTTCTTCATCTTGTTGTAATCCAGTTGTGACATGTCAAACAGATGTTTTGGATGACCAGTTAACCCCCTTAAATCAGTGCTGTTCTTCTGATTCTTCTCATGAGAGCACCTCCTCAGAGATTAATAAAGATCAAACTAAAGAGATGTGTGCATCTATAGTAGCTAAATTACAAGGCAGTGGAATCTCTGGCAGTCTAGTGTCATCTATTGTGGGAGATTTAGAAGAATTAACAAACGAGATTCACTTAAAAGCAAAGGAAACGGCTATATCTGCATTACCCAAAACTGATCCCAATATTTCTGTGATAAATGATTCATTTGAACAATTTGAAAACCCATTCACAAACCTAAATACAGAATGGAAGCGAAACAAATATTTCAACCTTAAATGGGGTGTTGTTGAGCCTGTTGAGATAACACTGGGAGTAAGATATGATAGCAGGCGAAATCAAAAATCTGGTACATATGATCAGGTACCTGTGAAGGATACGTTCATATATGTGCCAATATTGGAAACATTGCAGTTCATGTGCAGAAATCAAAACATTTGTGCTATACTTAAGAAAGAAAATGGATCAGAGATAGACACTTACACAGACTTTTCTGATGGAATCTATTATAAAACACATCCTTTGTTTTCAACAAAAAAAGGTGCATTACAAATTCAAATATTTTATGACGATTTTGAACCAGCCAATCCCCTGGGCTCAAAACATGGAATTCACAAAATTGGCTGTCTCTACTTTGTTCTAAGAAACCTGCCTCTTAAATTTAATTCAGTTTTAATGAATATTCATTTGATATCGCTATTTCATGCACAAGATCTTCACAAATATGGTTTTGATTCTATTCTGGAGCCATTAATGACAGATCTAAAAAATCTGGAAAGCCAAGGCCTTAGTCTTCCATTTTCTGATGAGCCAGTATATGGCACAATATCCCAAATCACCGGAGATAATTTAGGGATGCACACAATTCTTGGTTTTAATTAATCTTTTAGTAGCACCTACTTTTGTAGACTTTGTTTAATAGAAAAAAGTGACTGTCAAACTGTATTCAGTGAGGATGATCCTAAGGTAGTACTTAGAGAAAAGACACATTTTGAAATGATTTATAAATCTCTTGAAGAAAACCCACAGTTAAAGTCTGTGTATGGTTTGAAGAAAAACTCTTTACTGAATTCACTGAGGTATTATCATGTTTCTAACAATTATTCCTTTGATATAATGCATGATCTTCTTGAGGGTGTTGCTCAGTATGAGATCAAATTACTTTTTGAATATCTTACTCAAAACTTATTATCAGAACAAGATTTACTTTCCAGGATTTATAGTTTTGATTATGGGTATTTAGAAAGGAAAAACCGTCCCACAAAAATTATTTTGGAGAGTGCTGGAAATAGTATAGGCTTGAATTCTATTCAGACATTGTGTCTTGTTAAAAACATTCCACTTTTGTTTGGGGACATTATTCCTACAGGAGATAAAAACTGGTACTTGTTACTGTTGTTACTAGAAATAATGAACATTGTCTTTTCTCCTATCCTCACGATGGGTATGACGATATATTTGAAGCATTTAATTGTTGAGCACCATAGACTCTTTAAGTTCTTATATCCACATCGGAATTTGATACCTAAGCATCATTTTATGATCCATTATCCATCTTCCATTAGGAAAATAGGTCCATTATTACATATGTGGTCTATGAGGTTTGAGGCTAAACACAAAACATTTAAAGATTACTTTAAAAACTTTAAAAATATAACCAAATCACTTGCGAAAAAGCATCAGATGGCCATAGCTTATCATTGGGAAACAATAAGTATTAAAAAAAAGGAGCATGGGCCTCTCAAACCATTTTCACTTAAAGATGAAGATGTGGACAACAAAGAAATGCTTCAAATGATTTCATCGGGAGATGTTTGTTCAACCAGCTGGGCTAGAGTTGATGGTGTTGAATACAGACCTGGACTTGCTGTTTGTAGCACAATTCAAGATGAGATGCCAGTATTTTGTCAGATAAGTGATGTACTTTTAGTTGACAATACCTTTCTTTTGTTTTCTAAACGGCTATTCACAGAAACATTTGATGATCATCATCATGCTTTCAGGGTTGTTCAAAGTGAAGAAAGGCATTTAGTAAAAATCACTGAACTTACATTTCATAGGCCTTTTGATATTCAACACTCTTATGGCGTTTCTAATGAATGTTTGTTTATTGTACCACAATTTAAAATGTTGGATAAATAAAGAGTTTAAAATTGATATACTTGTGTCAAGTTTTTTTTAAATAATTATTATAATTAATCATAATTATGAAGTAACTTTTTTCTGGAGTAAATAACATTTAAAAGTGTTAAATCAACACTAACAAAGTAGTACATTTTTGTTCTTGGATCAGTGTTATCCATTGTATCCCACAGTGTTAAATGATCCCTGTTTTGTGAGTTAAATAGGTAACTCTGATAAAGTGTTAAAATTTTAACTATTTTGAAAGTGTTAATTTAACATTCATGAGTGTGGACTATATAAACGTCAAAAAAATGTTAAAATCAACTCTGTAGGAGTTAAATTAACACTGGACTTTTTGCTGTGTTGGATCAAAAACCTAACATTGGCCCAAGTGATTTTTAATCACTGGGTGTTTTCTTGAGTGCTCTGTATTTCATTGGTAAGACATTGTGAATTGT